TAACGATGTTTTTTTTTTGTCTTAGATTATTATTTTTTTTTTTTGCAGTCTAACATTGAATAATCCCTTTTTTATTTTTTTATTTATTTTTTTTTTTTTACGCATTACGCCCCGAGCAAGGCGGGAAGCCACAAGGATGCAGGGGGTTGCAGAAGATTTGGAGCGAGAGCAGATAGGAGTGATAGAAGAAAGGATGAGTAGAAGGATAGTGGATAGATCAAGGTAACTGGTTATGTCGATTGACATTACATTTGAATATTTGAAGATTATAGCTCTCAGGGAAACAGTAATAGGGAAGGGTGTTCCACAGGCGAGAGGTGCGAGATATGAAGCTATTGGAGTAGAAGAGACGGCTACATTTAAAAGTTTCTACAGTGAAAGGGTGAGAGCGGGATGCCAGCCTCGTAGGGCCCTTGAATTCATGGAGTTTGGGGAACCAGTGAAAGCAGCTCATCGGAGCAATTACCATGAAAGTATTTGTAAAAAAAGACAGAGAGAGGCGACGGCGCGTCTGTGAGAGAGTGACTGTAGACCAGACGCCAGATTAGGGCCAATTATATTACATATCCGCCTCTAGATCTTGTCAAGAACTCCGAGGTAAACAGAAGGTGCACCAGACCATATATGGCAGCAATACTCCATGCAAGGGCGAATGGTTGATTTGTATATTTGAAGTATCGATTCCGGGGAGAAAAATTTCCTGGTGCGACACAGGGAGCCAACTTTCCCTGCGGTGGACGAAGCAATTGACTAAATGTATTTGTTCCATCTCAGGTCAGCAGTCAACGTGAGAACGAGCAGACGCAGAGGGTTGCTCTCAAGAAGTTGAGCATCAGACATTCTAATGGGGAGCAGGGAAGGATGGGGATTAATAGAGAGCAGCCAATTCTTGCCCCAATTAACAACCGATTGGAGGTCCATTTCAAGACAAGCGGCCAGGTTAGTTTTGTCAGCGGCACTAGATTTGTTTTTGAGGCAGGAGTAAATTGTGGTGTTATCCGCCTAGATGCCAACTTGGGAATTTATGGCGTCAGGAAGGTTTACCAAAGCCAGACCCTTTTTATGTACTACTTGGTTTGATCGATCAAGTTGCTAGCAATAAAAGTCCACAATGATGGTTCTTTTATGTTTCAACGGACGACAAAACCAGGAACAAAACAAAAACTTCTTTGGAAGAAGTGCTGGTCTTGGTGGTAGTACTGCTTTCAAATTTTGTTATAACTACTGTCCTTTAATTTTGTGTTGACATGCAAAACTCATTTTTCATCACCAATGATGCTATAATGAAAGTTTGGCATTCTTGGTTAAATAAAAAAAAAAAAAAAAAAAAAAAAAAAAACTCCAAATGATAAAACCTTGTTTCCGGTACCCACAAGAAAGGTCATTAAAAAAAAATTCCTCTTTCAAACTGTCTTCATTTAAACTTTGAAATGCACTCCAAATGATCTGGTAAAAAGATGACAAATAAGGGACACAGTTTTCAACCATTCGAACTTGGCTCTGCTTTGGTTGGATGGCTCATAATTCACCACAAAACGACCTTAAATATGTCACTGTTTTCTTATTTTTGACAAATAATGTCTTTTCTATTGTCTGTTTACATGCAAAACCCATTTGTAACAAGGAGATGCAAAAACGAAAGGTTGGTATCCCATTTTAAAAAAACTGTTGCAGATAGTGGAACACTGTGTTTGGCTACCAAGTAAAAGCATATGAGAAACCTAAATTCCCTCTTTGAAAGGTGTTTTAATGAAACTCTAAAATGCATTTTAAACGCCTCACTAATTCTAGACACGTTCCTACCATTCGAACTCTGTTCTTTTGATTCATAATTCACGACAGTGAAATAAGTAATTACTTCCCGAGCAACATAAACGTTTAAATTTATAATTTTTTTATTGCAGTAAATTTGAAACGTCACGACATTTTTATTAATTTTCGATTGTTGTATGTACTACCTGGCCTTCAAAAGAAGGAAGAAAATAAAGTTGTAAAGACTGACGTTAAATTATTCTTATATTACAAACTAGTATTTTGCAGTTTATCAACCTCTTGGAGGTTATTTAAAACTTAAACATACCTTTCGGATTATAGGATTAATTATGTTTGCAAGTGAATATTGAATTTAGATTTTTTTGTAGAAAAAATTCCTACACATAGACGGGAAGGACAAACGGTTTCATGCCTTTGCCAAGGTTATTTACATAAAAGCGTAAAGAGATCGATTGGAGATCGAACTTGGTTATCCGATTTTGAAACTCTCTCCATTACACCACCCGCACATCCTTATAACTTGGAGATGGATAATATGGAGAATTAATTGTGATCGAGATGATGACACAATTAAAAGTCTTCCGTGCAAAAGATACCAGTTACTATTTTGCTCAATTTGTCAGAAGGTCTACAAAAGCAATTATATCTGACATCTAGAACATGCTCTTGCGGCAACTTGACAGTAACTAAAAGTGTTAAAGTACTCTTGCAAATATACGACAACCGTGAGCCAATTCAACCACCTAAGGACAGACAGCGTTAGGTACAAAGGTCAAATACCTTGACAGCGAAGAGAGTTGAGATTTAACTCAGGAGGAAGATTTGACAAGAAGTGAGTCACTATGGCTCACCGGGGCAATAAGCGTGTATCTGTGAAAGTGGATGTGTTCGTGCGTAATGTTGTGATTTGTCTGTCTGTCTCTAACTTGCTATTCTGAGTAATTGGTGTTAGAATATAAACACGTTACGATTAGGTATTGTACTACAGGTCGCCAAGTTCTGAAGTCACTACCAATCCATTTAAATCTACAAATATACGACAAGATAAAGGACAAATAAGAAATACTTATCAATCTAACATGTTTCACTTTTATTAAAGCATCATCAGAGAAATTTTTAATAAAAGTGAAACATGTTAGATTGATAAACGTTTACTATTTGTTCTTTATCGTATTCTGTCGGATTCCGATCTATATTTGATCTATAATTGATCCCAAATCATATATATATATATATATATATATATATATATATATATATATATATATATATATATATTATTATTATTATTATTATTATTTTAAAGGCCAGCACGATCAGAACCTCGATCACGATGACTTGTGACTTCGTGCTAGCACAACCATCGGCAGCTCCGCAAAGAGTTCCGCTGATCCAATTTCATTCACAAGGCTTAGCTCAGCTCGTGGTATGATTATATATATATATATATATATATATATATATATATATATATATATATATATATATATATATATATATTTGTCGTTATATACGTTTGTCGTTAGCAAATAGAAGAATACAAAATCTCTAACAACATTTTGTTGTTTATAGATATTTGCTTCAATAAATTTATTCCATTTTTTGCCTTGAAAAAGTCCACATCGGGCGAAACGCGTCGGCTAAAACTATATATATATATATATATATATATATATATATATATACAATACAATCATTGGTTTTAATATACTTTGTATTAATTGCTTTAAAACGGAGCTGGTAAACTTTAGTTGATCACGTAATGTTTTCAGATCTTCTGGTACGTAAACAGTGTCGAATGATTTGTCTGACACTTGACACTAAGATGAGGGTCGTGTATCCTGACTTCTCTCCTGTATTGTCCCGAGACATGGATTGTATAACAACATCATGTCAAATAAAAACCTTGAAAAGATTTCATCAATGGTGACACAGTATCGACCAATTAGCGTCGTTCTTGTCATCAGCAAACTCATCAATAATATAATATTATTGATATATATTATATACAACAATATGGCTACTCAACACCTCAATAAAAAAAACCTCATCAGCGGTAAACTGTATGGATTTCTCAGTTATCAAATTCAGTAATATATATAAAGATGAATTGGAATCAAAAGTGAATTAGAATAAGCTGATAGGATATGGAAGAAATAGGAAACGTTTATAAATTTAACATGTTTCGCTTTTATTTAAGACTTGCCAGAAATTAAATATGGAGGAGAAAACTATTATGGTATTTTTTTTTTTTTTTGTGTTGCTTGTTTTTCATTGGTTAAGTAAATGATGTCAATTTAAACAATACAAACAACATCCCTACACGCGAAAATATTCTCTTCAAACATAAAGTAATTAACGTAAATTTTCAGTTGACCATTTGAATATACAATAGCGTTTCTAAATTCTTCTACTTGCTAACGACATTTTGTTTGCTGTTTATAGATACTTTGTTTCATTAAATTCATTTTATTTTTTGCCTTGAAAAAGTCCACACTGGACGAAACGTGTCGGCCAAAACAACAGTTTTCCTATTGTCTTTTTTTCTTTTATACAGACTGTCTTTTTCTACAGGTTAATTCTGTGAAGTACACACACACACACACACACACACACACACACACACACAAACACACACACACACATACATATATATATATATATATATATATATATATATATTTGTGACGTCTTTGTTTACATATGGATGCGCCATGAGCAGATATGAATGTACGTGAAAGAATTATGGAAGACTGAAGTTTAAAAGCAGTAAATTCGACCGTGCCAATTGAACGATTCTCTGTGGCTCGATCGGTTAAGAGCGCGACAGGCTAAATGACGATTCTGTATAGGATACAGGTTCGAATCCTGTCGGAAGACGAATATTTCCTATGAACATTTCTCGGACATTCAGACCGGTAAATGTCGTTAATACTGTTTGTTATAAACAGAGCATTTTCTTAAATATTTGTATCTATAAAAAGAATGTATAAACATAAAAATGTCTTATATATATTAAAATCACTATGACAAAGGAATACAGATTTTATGGATGCTGTAATATGTTTGTCTTTGTAATTTAGCCCTGAAGATGATCTTAGAAAAGGTCGAAAGTTATTTTGGGTTAAAAAAAATACAATGCCTTCCTTGATGAATTTCATCTTAACATAAAGAAACTTTTACTTATGCATTTTCGCCTGCTCCGCTTTCACGATGTTCTTCTTTGCTTACGGTCGTATCGCGTTGAAACATCCGTTCCTGTACGATCACCATAGGTAAGCAAGAGCGAGCCTGGTCAGTACTTTGATGGATGTCCACTTGAGAATACAACGTGCTGTAAGCTTGGATGTGTGGAAGGTGTAATGGATAACGGCTCTAAATTTGAAATCAGAGAGCAATGTTCCAATTCTAGTCGGTTTCGTTATATCCAATTAAACACAAATACTCTTCGGAAATATATGAACACACCTCTTTTCCCAAATGTTTCATAAGCTGCAAAAAAAGAAATCAGTCTTCTTCTTCTTCTTCTTCTTCTTCTTCTTCTTATTATTATTATTATTATTAATTACGTATTTTATGTTTCCTGCTTCGTATCCTATCGACGTGGGTCCAAATTATGGTCCTTAGTCCCTATAGGAGAACAGTCATTCAATGGATAGCATTTTTCTTAGCATATGTGATGATCCTAGTAGGGCGATCTTCTGGGCAACGTATATGTTGATGCTACCTGGGACACTGTTAGTAAAATTGTCCATTCCTTTTCTCACAAGGCCCAGTGCTCTGATGACTATTGGTACAGTCTCAGTCTTCATTCCTCACATCCTGTTAATCTCGATATACAGGTCCTTGTATTTGGATAATTTCTCGATAACTTTCATGGGGGTGTTTCTCTCAGTTATTATTATTATTATTATTGTTATTGTTGTTGTTGTTGTTGTTGTTATCATTATTATTATTATTATTTGTATCATCAGTATATTTTTCTTTTCTAAATCTTTTTTTTTTTCCGTGATGGCAATTTTCAGTATTTTATCATACCCCTCCCAGAGTCAGACAGATAGGTAGGTGAATAAAATTATTTCCTGCTCATCTAAATGCAGTCTAGGAAGGGACGGGGAACCAGTACCAATTTCTCACTTAGTTTGACTATGTTACTGACATAGTTGGCGGGAAAAAACTTGTTTTCTCCTTTAGCACATCGACAAAGAAATTGTTATTTCTGAAGAACAAAATAACAAATGGAGATTTGGGTCGGGGAGTTGTGTGTGTGTGTGTGTGTGTGTGTGTGTGTGTGTGTGTGTGTGTGTGTGTGTGTGTGTGTGTGTGTGTGTGTGTGCGCGCGCGCTTGAAATCAGACCATGAAAGAAAAGGTCCTGGGAGTAGAAAGATGAAAATTCAAAGAAAAATGGGGTAGTAAACAAATTAGATAAAAGCCGAAAAAGGAAGGAAGGAAGGAAGGAAGGAAGGAAGGAAGGAAGGAAGGAAGGAAGGAAGGAAGGAACGTTGAGCGAAAAAGAAGAAAAGTAAAAGGAAAAAGGGAAGAAATCCTTGTAAGGAATAAAGAAGAATTAGGAGCGAAAAATGTAAAAGAAAGAAGAAAAAGAAATTAAGAAGAAAAGAAAGAAAAGAGATGTAAAAGAAAGAAGACAATGAGAAACGAGAATTCAAAAGGAAAAAGGAAAGCAAAATAAAGAATCGTTCAAAGAAATGATAGAGAAGAAAACCGCAGTTTCAAAGAAATAATATTGAAGAAAAGCGACGTAAAAGAAAGAAATGGAAAAAAAGAAGTGAAAAAGAAAGAATGAAATGAAAATAAGTGACGTAAAAAGAAACACAACAATGTAGAAAGAAAGAGAGAAAGAAAGAAATATAAAAATAACGAATTAAATGAAGAGAAACTAGACGTCAAAAGAAAGGAAAAAGAAACAACCAAACATAGAAAGAAAGAAAAAAGAAAGAAAGAAAGAAAAAAGAAAGAAAGAAAGAACAATAGTAAAAGGAAATCTGGAAAAAAGAAATAATGAAGCACTTATAAAAGATGAAAGTTTCGTACGTACCGAAAGATTTGTTACCTCAAAAGGTCAAATTCCAGACATGACCGCTTTTCTGTAAGATATGGACAGACAACTCAAAATCAAGTGATTGTTTCATCTAGAATTTGCCCAGATTACACCCTAATCTTTATTCACTACCTCTTTACATAATAGTGAGTTTCTGGAGACAGATTCATTATTTATTATTATACACTGTTTATGAATGACTTGGGGAAAATATAATTAATATTCAATTCGATATCCATTTGTGAAAATTTAAATTTATAATTTCAAATTGAAGTAAACCTATCATCCATGTGCAAATGGCCCAATGTAATCTTTAGAGCCAATTTTCATACAATTCGACCTTGATTCGTCCTAAATGGGACCTAGTCTTTAGTTTTCTAATGAATCACGACTGCCGTAGCCAATCAAGACTGTAAAGACAAATGTACTACATCCGCAGTAGCTGGATAGCCTGACGGAGTCCAACTCTTCCACGCTGGCTTGAATTCAGTTTTTTCTTTCTTTTAGTCAAGTTGCCAAACAAAGCTATAAGAAACAGTCTGTCCTGCGATTTACTCATATTTCGTGGGAGAAGAGAAACATGTATACCTTTCCCAGTGATGTTAGCACATAAGTACATGAAATGAAGTCTAATGGAATTCGAACACCGATCATTCTATCCCCAATCCGAGACGCTATCCATTGCTCCATCGTGCCTCCATACTTATAAATACCAGCGCCATGAAACAAAATCTTCTTTCTTCTGCACAAGTGACCTATATGAGTCGGTCGAAAGAACTTACCACAATACATTCGGGGTTTGTTTCAATTAACACTCATGCAGTTATTTATAACCATTTATCGTTGATAGCTGTTCTGATATGGACGTATCAAGGGATTTTCAAAAGAAATGATATTTGCAATTTTTACACACACACATATATATATATATATATATATATATATATATATATATATATATATAAAGAATATATAGTTATAAAAAGCAGTTCTAAAAAATTTTAGAGTCTTATAGCAGTGGCCAGTCACTGACAACCTGGTTTTTATATATATATATATATATATATATATATATATATATATATATATATATATATATATATGTGTGTGTGTGTGTGTGCGTGTATATATATATATATATATATATATATATATATATATATATATATATATATTTATATATATATCATAAATATTATTTATATATTATATGCGCGGTACTTATTAGAAAGCGCTCAATATCAGAGATAGAGCTAACATATTTGGTTGGATTGATGTGAGTTTGTGGCCCTGGGTTTGTCTGACGATCGCAAAAGCATGAAACCCAGCGTTACAAACTCATATCAATATCAATATATATATATATATATATATATATATATATATATATATATATGAATTCCATCAGAGATGCATTTCAAGAAAGTAATACATAAAAATAATTGTGCAAAAATGGTTGTCGAAGCGTGGAAGATAGACTTCAAAGTTATATGATGGTCAGTACTTTGGACACCTGCCTTAATAAAATGTTCAGTCCTTTGCTATTTATATATATATATATATATATATATATATATATATATATATATATATATATATATATAAAATATAATTGTATATTTAATAATTATGTATCAAAAAATAATTATATTAATATGTCATCTCAATATAAATGTTATTATTTACTATCCTCCTTTTGGTTCCCCTTGTATTTGTATGGATGTATACGATGTCTGTCAGAACATATCAGGACTAGTACCATAGAAATAAAACTACAATACGTACCAAATCTGTATTTAATATCCTTCGAAGTAGTTCCCGCCTGATGCCATGTACTTTATCCAGAATTGTTTTCATTGATGGAAGCATTCCTGGAATTCATTTTTGAGAGAGCGAGCAGAAACTTTGTCATATTCTCTTGGATTTCCTCGACGTATAGAAATCTTGCTTTTTTTTTTATTTCTAAAGAGGAAAAAGAGGGAAAAGACGAGATCCGAGGAATATGGTAGTCGTAAGACCTGGGGAATTATGTGCTTGACCAAAAATTGCTGCATAAACCATGGTCACTGATGGAACCTCTGTGATGTGGTGAGTTGACCACACGCTACACGCTTTCCTTCCAAGTACTGCTATAAACAACGTAAGCGGACGAGTAGGTTATAACTTAGTGTGTATGCGAGACAGAGTTCAATATCCCTCTTTTCCAAGAGGATTCGCTCTGCTTACTTTATCTCCGTTACCATGGCAACAGTGCCGATATTTTTTTATCAGACCTCGTATATACAAATCCATAGACAGTCGCTGATATTTGACAGCTTTCACCGAAACGATCTAAAAGAATCCATAATTTATAGCCAAATTCTTAAGTGACAAAAGTATTTCTTTGGACCCGAAGGGATAAAATATTCAAGTATGCTCGCTGATTTAGCAATTTCGCAATAGAAACTACTCCCTAAAAATAATCAAGGAATCCATAAAAAAATAGCTTTCTCACACATTATTTTGGTCTCCAAAAACAAAACAAATAAAAAAACATGACTTCCCATGGCATTTGATTTTAATTATAATATTAAAAAAATTCTCCGATTCCCTCCAAAAAAAAAAGACTTCCTAAATCTTAAACTAGATCCTCTAATTAATAACGCATTAAGCGTACTTCCCCTTAGCGCAAGACGACAACGGGGGCACGTTGGCTCGGATTAAGGAATCGGAGAGCCGAGTTCCAAATCCAGTCGATTACATTGACTTATATGCAGATACAACTCAAAACCGAATGATGTTTTCGTCAAGAATTTGCCCAGATGAAGACCTGATCCATATCCGCTCCGTCTTTATGAATTAGTGAGTAGCTGGGGACACATTCGTTAATATTGCCCCTGTCTATAAATAGCTGGGGGGCACATTCGTTAAATATGCCCCTGTCTATGAATAGCTGGGGAACACATTCGTTAATATTGCCCCTGTCTATGAATAGCTGGGGGGCACATTCGTTAAATATGCCCCTGTCTATTAATAGCTGGGGAACACATTCGTTAATATTGCCCCTATCTATGAAGAGCTGGGGGACACATTCGTTAATATTGTGCCTGTCTATGAATAGATGGGGGACACATTCGTTAATATTGTGCCTGTCTATGAATAGCTGGGGGACACATTCGTTAATATTGTGCCTGTCTATGAATAGCTGGGGAACACATTCGTTAATATTGCCCCTGTCTATGAATAGCTGGGGAACACATTCGTTAATATTGCCCCTGTCTATGAATAGCTGGGGGACACAT